GGATGCAGGGCTAGAGGGATCACCAGGGGATGTAGCCTCATGTGACCCTCCCTCCCGCCCTGAGCCTGCTCTGTCCATTAGAAATTCTCCCAGAAGCTGAAGTAAAGCTGTACTTAAGAAAGACAGCCTTTTTTAGGATGAGATCAAGCAATGGTGAGTGCACCACCTCCCTTCATAAACTGTTACAGAGTTTAATTACCTTTACTGCTAGGAAATTGCATCTGATTTCAAGGTTGATTACATCTAACCTCAAACTTCCAGTCACTGGATTTAGTTGTGCTTTTGTCAGCAAGAGTGAAAAAGCTCACTGTTGTTATCTATTCCCTGTATCCTCTCCTTTCTTGAATAAGTGGAATATGTCCAGCTCTTTAAGCCTCCCATCTTGAGACTTGTACTTGACATGCAAAATACTTGGATTTTCTCCAACATTTTCTCATCTTCTTTAAGTGCAGGCACCAGAACTGTTCTTGATACCTTGGAAACATGCAAGGATTGTGTTGAGTCCTTTCCTCACCAATGTACTGAGACCTCATGTAAGGAGTGATTAGGATAATCACTTTTTATCATTCCCTGAGTCTCTGCTCTCTGAGACAGTGTCCATTCCTACAAGCTTTTGGACTGAAGTGAAATGAATTTAGTATGCAGTTTGTTGGACAGTGATCATTTAGCCAAATCAAATTACTGCAGRAGTAATATATCTTCTTTATTTACTGTGCTGAAATACTTTGTGCTATATGCAAGCCTTTAAAGCAAAGATTTTATCTCATGGTCCACAGTGCTGAAAACAACAGAAAACAGTATCAGGTGAAGACTGATTCTGATTCTGCTGGGCGATCTCCCCACATTGAATGAAATCTCCCCATTAAAAGGCTGCATTTTGAAATTTKTCAGTGAGACACTTCTTAATCCTCACAATAGGTGACCTGTTAATTCCATGTAATGCAAGACTTGAAATCAAAATGTCATGTGGTATTAACAGCCTTGCAGAAATCCAAATATCTCCTATCAATCCAGCTGCTTTTCTCATCCAGAYCTGTAATCTTTTATATAAATCTTTGAAATAACCAAAAATTCCACAACAGTATATCTGACAAGACCTAACTTCCAATAACCCATTTTGACCAGGATTAAATAGATTTATTCTTTTCTTAATATTTAAGCATCCCAGAAACATGTTATTTTGTGAGAATAGCAAAAAAATCAGTTTCAACTAATGGAAGGCACATAGCCGAAAAATATACTTCCCTACTTACATTGTTCTCTAAATCAGAGCTAGGTGGAGTGTGAGCTGAACTAGTTGAGCTTATTTACAATTGCTGTTTTTCTCTCAGAGTTAATGGATTACTGACAGTCTAAGAATCTTCTGTTATTTAAAACAGAAACTCTCTCCTAAAAGTCACTTCATCTCTTCTCTGCAAAGGAAAGGGGCTAAGTAGAAGACTAGTAAAAGACTAKCTTGGCAGAATCTGCCAAATACAGGAAACACAGAAACTACTGGTGCTTCTTGAAGAGAGGGTTTAATGCCCAGTCTTTAAAGCCTTGTGAGAGTAGYAGTGCTTAGAAATCAAGATGGTCTGCACATTGCCCACATAGAGCTTAAGAAAGATCAAGAGACACAAAGGATTTGTACTGGCCCTCTGTAATGATGACTTTCATTAATTTCTAATCTTCTCAGGGCAAAGCCTCATCACCTAGACAYGCAGTAGCAGTACCTATGGGCTGAGAGGAGCACAAAGACTGCTGGTATCACCATGCCTCAAAAGAGAGTAGATACAGCTGTCCAATTTAGGAATGCAGCTAGAGTGTGGACACCATTGTTTGTGTTGTTTTTACTCTTCCCAGGTTGCAAAATTTCATGCTTTTCACTGTTCTTGTGGCTCAACACAGAGTACTGCTCTGGGTCCTGCCCATKGCCTCCCTTGGAGCATGGAGTAACATCAGGGAGAATGTGCTGCTGACATATCTTTGCACTGCTCTCTACAAAAAAAAAAAAAATCACACTCTGGCCCATGAGCAGAATATTCCCTCTAAATTCCTAAGTACATGCTGCTGGAGTTAAGAACGTTGTGAGATTTCGCTCTTTAATGTACCTACATCTAGTATATTAATTTCATACTACTGTTGGCTATGGAAAGAATTGATSCTGTAATGAAAGGAATATTAGTCAATGGATAAAGAGAAGGTCACCTAATTTATCTCAGCACAGGAAGAAGTGGTATTCTTTGCTGATYTTTGTAAAAAGCTATTAATGTCTAAGAAGATCAAGGGAATAGATAGTACCAGCTGATTCTTTAATTTAGACATTGAAATATTTTGTTAATATTTATAAATTTTAATGATCTAATCCAGCAAAGTCTTGTTTGTATGGATAATCCTTACTCAAAAACAGTCTTGTTGAATTATGTAGGGTTTTTTGCATTAGAAAAAAGTAATTTGTGTAAATGTGGGTATTACTGGGCCCTTAAATATTTACAAACACTTATCAAAATTATTTTATGAGGGAAACTGAAGAACCATCTGGTATCCCCTGTTATTTTATGCTCCCTAATTTTCCTAACTATGTGCAGAAGTCAGCAAATATTAGCATTTTCTTTCTTATCTGAAGGCTGAGGGCAGCCAAATTACCTTCTCCTTCTCCTTTAAACTTATACTCCTTCCTAGCAGAGGACTAATCCTTTCACTTCTACTTATGTAAAATGGACAGGCGATGCCAGTAGGCGAGTCAGCAAATCTGCTGCTGGGTTTGTTCAAGGACCAAAGTTTCTTTCACCTGGAATAATAATAATATAGTCTTTTTACTGCACACAACCACCATGACATCAGCAGTATTTCAGTTCTTAAAAATCTTTGCCATTTTTAACAGCAAGAAGCTGTGCATCCCTTTACAATAATTTTCCCCAGAAAAAGTACTTTATTCTCCTTTTCAGAGATATTCTAAGCACCCACTTTTCAACTGATGCTGTAGACGCTTAGCTGCTCTCAGCAGTGAGTCTTTGAATACAAACCGGCAAGCCAGCTACACGTGCAGCTGGTAAAAAAAAAAACTTTTTATAAGGTTCAATTTCAACAAGAAAAACAAGTATTTGTATCTTTTTGTGAAGTTCTGTTTTCCTTGGCAATTACACTTAAATCATTAAGATGAATTACATCATGGCTAATGCAGTAAGTTAAGTTATGCATGCTAAYATCAGTCTTCTCTTATATTGTTGTGATACTTAACTATGCAAATGGTTCATTCCACAAAGTACCACTAGAGGTTCAATTTCAAAGGAAATCATTGCATTTTCATCTAATTT